TATATAAATGTATCAAATCCACAAGTTGTGCAGCTTAAACTTACACAATGTTATATGTCAGTTATATGTCAATAAAAACAGCAACAAAAACCGGGGCCTGACAGCCGGCAGGCCTACCCCTTTCTGGCCTGGTCCCCACCCCTCCCCTCTTCACTTTCTCTTCCCTCCTGGGCAGTCCTACCCTCTTGCTCCCTTCCTCCACCCACCTCCCCCGTCCTCCCTTTGTCCTCCCTTTGTCCTCCCCGTCACTCCCTTTCCTTCCCGCGACCTCTCCCCTCCGGCCTCCCCTCCTGCCCCTCAAGTGTTGGCTCCAGGTAAAAGCAGAAGTTAATCCCCTGGCCCCACCTTTCCTGCACCTTTGCTCCAGGGCCTTGAAGTCTCCCCACCCCCTCCCCCAGGTGAGGGCCTCTCAGCCTTTGGAGTTCAGAGTCCAGCCCTAGTTGCACTTCCTCCCGGCTCTCCCTGACCTCAGGGTCACTGTGTCACCTGCTTAGCCACTTTGGCCACCACGGCATAGTTGCTTTCCTTTGTGAGCTTGCTGGAGCACCCTCAGGCCCCATTTCCCAATCTCCAGGCTCCATGAGGGTGCGGACTTGTGTGCTTTATTCCCTGTATGCCCCGTGCCCAGCAGTGTCAATGCTTGATAGGTGTTCAGCGTGCATTTTCAACAGATGATTCTACTCTGTGTGATGGCAAATATAAAAGAGCAGGAAGAGTGGGCTTCGGAAACAGATCTGGGTCAGAACTGCTGGGTCTGGGTGAGTAGCGTGACTTTTGGGTGACCCTCTCAGAGCCGCAACTTCTTCATCTGTAAAGTTAAAGGGGATAATGAGCACTTCTCTTGGGGCCGCCGTCAAGATTAAAGGCGATCTTAAATCTAGTCCCAGTACATAGCTGGCACTGGAACATGACTTCCCATCCATGTCCGTGCTGAACTTAATTTGCATATCCGTGTAGACGTTGCGAAGTCAGTCTACATGATTTCATGGGAAATGTGATTTTATACATCGATGTGAAGACTCAGGACTGGCCATGAACAGCCCTGAGTCCCTCGCCCAGTTCGGCCACTACCTGGTTGTGTGACACAAGGTCAGAGTGACTCTGATCCTCAGTGTCAATGTGCAAGGTCAAAAGTTTGGGCAGGATTAAACCTCCATCTTGCAGGATCCGCCCTTACAGATTTTGGCTCTGCTTCATACTTGTGTTATTATTTGCTTATTAGACTTTGTGTTAAAAGAAAACTCTCTATCGCCACTGTCAATATCCTATGTTGGAGGTAACAACAACCAGGAGAATGGAAACCAAACAGTGCTAATAGAATTCTTGCCAGATCCTGCAACCTGCCCAAGCCCGGTGTCTGAGACACTTAGAGACTTCATGAAGAAGGGAAATTAGCACATGCTGGAGAGATGGTAACAACACAGTAGCACTCAAATGAGACATTCTGCACTCTCAGAAGGCCATGGGTGTTGAGAGCACATGAGTGCATCAGTGTCCTTTGGTGCTGTGTGTGTGGGTAGCCCTTGGCCATTGGGGGTGCCCCTGGCACCCATTCCTCACTTTGGAAAACACTGGACTGGATCTGAGACCTGGAAGGGACCTTAAAGATCACTGCCCCACCTGTCATTTAGTAGATGCATGAGCTGGGCCGGTGTGGAAACGGCTGCCCACGCCCTTGACCCTGACAGTGAAAGATCCATGCCTGGGTCTGCTTGTGCCATGGCAGGAAAAACCCCTGAAACATGGAGAGCTCCAGCAGTGTGGCCGGGGACCCCCAACCCGACCAGGCCACTTAGAAACTGCCTGCGTGGACGGTAGCCAGGACTTTCGTACTAAGCTCAATTCTAATATCTGGGAGTGTTTTTTGGACTTGCTCCCAGCAGGCCAGGCACCTTTCTTTCTTTCTTTTTTTTTTTAAGAACAGGGTATGTCACTTAAAATAGCCTCCAGTCCCTTCAGAACACTCGGGCTCCACGAGAACACTTGGTTTGCGCTGTCTGATCCTGTTCCTTCATGTTGGTCAGAAGTAGTCATAAACGTGTAGGGAGCACAGCAAGTACCATTTCAGAGCCAAAAAGGAGTTTGGGGTGTGGATTATATACTTTGAAAACAAAACAAAACAAAACAACACCTTTTGGAAGCATAACTGACATAACAAAAACCACTGAACGTATTTAATGTATATAACTTGGTGGGTTTGGAGATACGAATATACCCGTGAAACCACTACAAACCAAGGTAATAAAAATCTTGGACAAAAATAAAAAATAAAAAAATTCATAATAAATAAAAACAAGAAAATAAACATTTATTTCCTAAAATAAAAAGTTTCTGCCTGACCCCCCTTCCCGAACACCTAGTGTCATGTCAGCTGTGAACTTGTCATTTACGGCTTTTATTATGTTGAGGTGGATTATACTTTTAGAGGTTTTATGAACAACCAGAAAAAAGGTGGGTAGCAAAGAAAATGTTTTGTTCAACATGGAGATTGTACCAAATAACCAAAATGTTTGGTTCGACGTGAAGATTTTACGAGATTGTCAAAGAGTTTAAAACATAGTGTTTTAAGTCCTGATCCCCCAAAACGAAAACAGATTACTGTGTAAGTTTACTTAGAAAGAGCAAGACAAGGCCTGTAGGCACTAGAATCTTTTTGTTGTCCTTGCTAGATTTGTCCTTGAATTAAATTCCATGCTTCTCGGGGTGCCTGGGTGGCTCAGTTGGTTAAGCATCTGCCTTTGTCTCAGGCTGTGATCCCAGGGTCTTAGGAGCAAGCCCCAGGTCCTTTGGGCTCCCTGCTCAGTGGGGAGCCTGCTTCTCCCTCTGCCTCTGCCCCTCCCCCTGCTCATGCTCTCTCTCTCTCTCTCTCTCTCTCAAATAAATAAAATCTTTAAAAAAAATTAAATTCTATCCTTCCCTCAATCCCGATCACCTTTCCTTATCACCTTATAAATGGATAAACTAAGCTAGTGGTTCTCAACTTTGGCTGTAAATTAGATTACTTGGGAACTTTAAAAATCCTGAGTTCCAGGCCACCCCCCAGACCAATGAAATCTGTGCCTCCAGAGTAAGGTCAGGCATGGGTAGTTTCTAAAGCTCCGCAGGGACTGACGTGCAGCCAGCATTGAGAACAGCTGCTCCAAACAACCATGCAGAACTTCGTCGCTGTCCTTTTTCACAAGTAAGAATAGCATAAACTGTTGCACATATCAAAGCTCTCTGGCGTTACCTGTGAAATTCTTACTCTGTGCTGGCAACACAGTTTGTTAGCTAAACACCTATTCATCCAGTTCTCCTCCTGACACTTTGTAGAAGAGAAGCCAAGAGGGGCACCTGGGTGGCTCAGTCGGTTAAGTGTCTGCCTTCTGCTCAGGTCATGATCTCAGGGTCCTGGGATCGAGCCCCATGTCGGGCTCCCTGCTTGGCTAGGAGTCTGCTGCTCTCTCTTCTTCTGCTCGTCCCCCCATCCTCTCCCCCGCCCCCAGCTTGTGCTCTTTCTCTCAAATAAATAAATAAAATCTTAAAAAAAAAAAAGAGAGGCCAAGATTCTCCCCACGATCACTATCACCTTAATTGTAATCTGAGAAACAGCTGCTCATGGACTCCCAGGGAAGTAACAGCTCAGGCTCACAGTGTTCCTTGGCATTGAGTAACTCACACAAGGTCACAGAGAGCAAGTGTGATTCTGGGGAAGTGAGCAAAGTGAGGGGGGACTACTAGGCACTAAGGAATCCCAGTCTAGTAAATCAAGTGGGAAAATAAGCCAGAACCACCAGATCCCTCCTGGTGATCTTACCAGAACATATTTGCTTCTCCCTTTACAAACCCCTCTCGGGGAAGCCAAGCATCTGCAACCAAAGGCAAACCTGTAGCATCTGCTGCAATGAGTTAGTTCAGAAAATTTATTTATTTTATTTTATTATTATTTTTTTTTAGTTCAGAAAATTTAAATGAATATTGGAAGTGTTAAACATTAAGCCCACCAGACCATGCTGTGTATCCTTTGGGATTCATTGGTGCTGAAAATGACATGACAAAAATAAGGGGGAGAAACTCCATTACATTACATGTGAGGTCATCAGGAGCCTGTGATCATGACCTGAGCTGAAGGCAGACGCCTAACGACTGAGCCACCCAGGCGCCCCGAAACAAACTTTCTCCATTCAGAGTCACCCAGGTCCAATCAGCGGCCCGTGGCCCACTGTGCACTCTGTGCATGTGTGACACGGGCACAGGTGCTGGGGCTGACCAGGAACACCTCTGCTCTGGTGGCCGCCGGCCCCAGACCTACAGCCCTTGTCCAGGGGACGGGCGTTTAACTAGTTGGAATGCCTTCTCTTCCCCTGTAGCAAAGCCTCTGGGACACTGATTAGTTACCAGAATGTGTTTGGTGAACAGAGATGCAGAAGAAAAAGGGAGCTTGTGGGGGACTAGAGGCCAGCTGGGTGAACGTCTGCTGGGGGCACCAAATACCCAGGCCGCCGAGCCCCGGTGCCTGCCCTCGCTCTGCTCCTTTGCTGGAATTCACTCAGGTTCTTGTCTTCCCATTATGACTGCAACACCAGAACACAGTTTATTCTACAGTAGCTACATTTTAATCTCTGTGATGGATTTGAAATATAGCCTGGTTGCCTCCGAGGCTTAGAGTACCCACCAAGTATTTTTATGTTTTGTGTCATCTCTTAGGTGGGTTTCTTTTCTGCCTGTGATACTCTCTTCCAAGATAGGTTGATGCTTACTAGTTTCAAGGGGTGGTGGTTTTGACCTTGTACCAAATTCTGGGGCTTTCCTGATCACAGGGGTTGGGGGGGGTGCTGGTGTTCTTTCCAGGTGAAAACAACTAAGCTTCAAAGAACTTGTGGCTAATGGGACTTCCCATCTGAAGTTAAAAGCCCAGTGCTTGAATCAGCACATATTTCGTCTGAATTACAATCAAATGTTTTTTCTCTTCTGCCCCAATGAGTTTAATTTTTTTTTCTTCTCCACTGTTTCTTTCGTAGGGGTTCAGCTGTTGCAAAAATAATTGGTAATAATGTCAAGAAACTTAAGAAGTTTGCCTCCACAGTTAAGATGTGGGTCTTTGAAGAAACGGTTAATGGGAGAAAACTGACAGACATCATAAATAATGACCATGAAAATGTAAAATATCTCCCTGGACACAAGCTGCCAGAAAATGTGGTAAGACTTTGGGACAGAAAGTACTTTTGGTTAATTCTGAAAGTAACGCTTGGCTGAGTTAGCACTTGGGGCTTGGGGAAATGGAAAAGCTACCTCCCTCCTCATTTGTCCTTTTCTACTACCAACTAATTTGCTTGGTCAGTTTTGGTTTTCCTGGTTCTCCATTCTGAAGATGGGCTTTGTATTAGTTTGCTAGGGCTGCCATAACAAAGTACAATAGAACAGATGGCTTAGACAACAGAGATTTATTTTCTCACAGTTCTGGAAGCTTCAAGTCCCAGATAAGGGTGTTGGCAAGTTTGGTTTCTGAGGCTCTCTCTTTGACTTGTAGATGGTCGTCTTCCTGTGTTTTCATACCGTCTTCGTTGTGTGTGTCCGTGTCCTAATCTAGTCGTCATCGTCTTTTTTTTTGCTGTAGATTTATTCTTTTGAGAGAGAGAGAGCGCACACGCAGGAGCTGGCGGGGAGGGGCAGAGGGAGAGGGAGAAGCAGGCTCCCCGCTGAGCAGGGAGCCGCATGCGGGGCTTGATCCTAGGACCCCGAAATCATGACCTGAGCTGAATGCAGATGCTTAACTGACTGAGCCACGCAGGTGCCTTGATCTCCTCTCATAAGGATATGAGTCATGTTGAATTAGGGCCCACCCTAATTTCCTCATTGTAATGTAATTACCTCTGTGAAGACCCTTTTTCCAAATACAGTCTTATTCCAAGGTACTAGGGTTAGGATATCAACTTATGGGGCGCTTGGGTGGCTCAGTCGGTTAAGCGTCTGCATTCGGCTCAGGTCATGATCCCAGGATCCTGGGATCGAGCCCCCCGCATCGGGCTCCTTGCTCAGCGGGAAGCCTGCTTCTCCCTCTCCCACTCCCCCTGCTTGTGTTCCCTCTCTCGTTGCGTCTCTCTCTGTCAAATAAATAAATGAAATCTTAAAAAAAAAAAAAAAGGATATCAACTTGTGAATTTGGGGCGGGGGCACGGCACACAATTCAGCCCACAACAGGCTACTTTCTTGGCATTCAAGGTGCTGGTCCCATCAAAGCTGGAACTCACAGCCTTGCCTTCGGCTGCTTGTGACCCCCAGTTCTGATAATTCCCTTTCTACACTCGAGGACAGCTAATGTACTGGTCTGTAATTAAAATCGGGGTCAAGGCCTAAATTACAGAAGGAGACTGGAGAAAATAGAAGATTGTAAGACTGACAGTTTAAAATATAAGCTTATTAGGTCTGAGAGGGAAAAATACAGGTAATTGCTTGGCCTCATTCCAGTGACTTGCGGGAGGTGGTGGGGGGAGGGAGAAATGAGCAAGAAGAATAAAAAGAGTGTACCGTGCTGCTTCTGTGAGTGGAATTTGAACTTCTGTTGCCAGATTCACCCCTTGGTGGCTTTCTGTAATAGTCTGTTTGAAGACCGGACCATTGTGGTCTGGTTCCCTGGTTAACCGGACAAACTCATCTTCTTTGTTCATGAAATATTCATCTCTGCATATATTCACTCATCAGCCTTTATGAGCATGTACAGTGCATGCAAAGCACAGTGTTCGTTGCTGGAGACAGGAAGAGGGGTAAAATGATGTTTCTTCCTTCAAGGAGCCCAGCAGGGGAGACGGGTTTGATAACTGATAAATGCCAGGAAGTCCGGATTTGCAAAGACCTTGCTCGCTGGAGATTGCTGTTTGGCTTTTGGTTACAGTGTTGATTAGTGTCAAGCACTGTGCTAAGTAGCTCATATATCTTGTCTCGTGTAATGCTCTCAATAACCCTCTTAGGTTGATAACTACTAGTTTTCCTATTACGAGGATGATTCTGATTTTGTAGGGAAGGATACCAAGGCCCAGAGAAGTTAATGAACTTGCCTGGGGTCCCATAGCTAGAGGCTGGGGTTTGAATTTGATTCCTGGCGGACTCATCCTGTTGAATCCCTTGTCTTCTGGACAAATGATCACTTTCCCCTCTGTGTCGCTGTACTGGGGGTCAGGCAGCATTTCTGCAGTCATTCTTGGCATTGTTGGTGGGGAGAGAAAGGATCCCTATGGTTCTGAGCTTAGAAGTTAAGTTGTCCAAATATCCGAGGGGAAGAACAAAGGGAGCGGCTATTCCCACTGCAGTGGGAGGCTTCTGAAGTCATCTCTGACCCCTGCTTGGAGTAGGAAATTTGTGCGTTTCACTTCTCATTCTTGTTGGACTCAATGCTTTGTTAAATATGTTCCTTCCACTCTGCTTTGTGCCAGTCCCTTATGTACCTACGTGTTCAGCCCCACTTGCCTCGAGTGTGTGAACGTGACTTTCTGGTTTTTTGGTCTTCCGTGGTTCCTGGCGCAGTATCCAAGGCATGGTGGGGGGGTGGGCGCGGCAGTAGAGGGGAACCTGTCAGCTGGTTCTATGAAGCTGAAGGTTGTGCCGGGAGCAGGGGAGCCAGGAGGGAAGGAGGCAGGGAAAGAATTGACAGAGGAGCCAACAGCCATTGACACTCAGAGCCCAGTGCCCACACTGATTCCACCACCTGCCCCATGTCCCTGGGTGTGGACAGAGGGAGGAGAGAAAGGAGGAACCACTCCCAGGACCCTGTTGATGTCTGAAGCCTTGTAGGTTCATGAAAGGGAACGTACCCATTCTCTGGAATGGACCTTTGCGTGCTTTCCAGCTGTTTGTTGTCATGGACCGTGTTCCCAGGGGGGCAGAATAGCAGGGTCGCTGGGAACGCACAGCCGTAATGTCACCATGTCTCACCACTCGTTTCCAGAGCGCCTGTACCAGTCTATACTCCCCCAGCATGTCTGAGGGTTCACGTTGTTCCACATGCTTACCCATGCTTGGCAGAGGATACCTCGGGTGCTAGAAAGTTTTATTTCTTAAGCTGGTGGAAGGTACACTGGTGTTTTTTTTTTTCTGTATATTTTGTATAATTTTGAACTGCACTCAGAAAATGCTGCATAATAAAGCCGATGGTGAAGTGTAGTGGTGGAGGGACTCCCTGGGAGTCAGGGGTTGGTGCTCACTGAGTGAGCATGGTCAGAGGGACGGCTTTTCCTAGTGCTTTATTACCCTTAGGCGTTTTGTGAGGAGTAGATGAGGTGATCCATATATATATTTAGTTTCCTGTGAAGTATTTTTTTTTTAAGAGCTGGGGATTGGTGGTTGTTGTTTTTTTTGGTTTTATATTTTTATTTCAGTTTTTCAGCTATCTCATTTGGTCCTTTAAAAACTCAACTAGTGTTAGATAAGACCCTTAATCGTCATGAGAGGCATGTTGCATTTCCATCCACATAGGATTGCGATTTGTGATGTCTGTCAGTTGGTGTGCTGATGTGAGACTGTGAGTCTTGCTCGGGGCCCCCACGCTGTTTCCCACTGCCCTCCTTCATGCCCATCCTCGTCAGGTGACCCCCCACCCCCAACCTCTTGTAACAGTGATATCACCATGTTATCACCTGTTGGCTAAAAGCTGGGACGATCTGGGTTTGCAGTTTTCTCTGAAACCTGAGTCGAAAGAACGCTTCCCATTTCTTGCCACTGTTGGATGTAAATCATTGATCTGTTTTATAGCTGTCTGTCTAGGGTCTCAGCCAGGTAGAGAGCTCCTTTGCCTTCTCGCTGCAGGTGTAACCAGCCTCAGCATGGCGCCAGGATGTACGATCACAGCATCTTCTGTGAAATACCGTTGTCATTGCTTCTCATCTTGCTTTCTAAGCCTTTACTAACTCATACAATTCACCCATTCAAGTGTACAAGTCAGTGGTTTTGAGTATATTCAGAGTTGTGCAAACATTACCACCATCGATTTTAAAATATTTTCATCACCCCAAAAAGAAACCCCACACCATGTAGGAGTCACTTCCTATTTCCTCCTATCCCCTGCCCCAGCCCTAAGCAACTGCTAATCTCTCTGTCTCTATAGACTTGGCCTGTTCCACACGTTTCATATAAATGGCACCATACAATATATAGTTTTCTGTGTCTGGCTTCTTTGATTTAGCATCGTGTTTCAAGGTTTATCTGTGTTGTAGCATGTGTCAGTACTCCATTCCTTTTTATGGCTGAATAAGGTTCTATTTTATGGATGTACCATATTGTTATTTATCCACTTGTCTGTTGATGGACATTTGGGTGGTTTGCACTTTTCAGCTCTTGTGCATAATATGGCGATGAACACTTGTATACAGTGTTTTGTGTGAACGTGTTTTCAGTTCCTTTGAGTGGGTACCTAGGAGTGCGTTTGCTGGATCATATGGTAACATTGAACTCTTTGAGGAACTGCCGGGCTGTTTTCCAAAGTCACTGCACCGTTGTACACCCCCACCAGCAGTGTGTGGGGGTTCCAGATGCTCCACATCCTTACAAACACCTTCGTCATTATCTACTTTTTTGATCCTACCCATCCTGGTGGGTATAAGGTGATACTTCATTGTGATTTTGATTTTCACTTGCCTAAAGTCTAACGATGGTGACTGTCTTTCCATGTGCTCATTGGACATTTGTATATCTCCCTTGGAGAAATGTGTATTCACAATCTTTGTCCATTTAAAAAATTGGGTTGTCTTTTTATTAGTGAGTAGTGAGAATTCTTTTTTTCTTTTTTTAAAGATTTTACTTTTAAGTAATCTCTACACCCAATGTAGGGCTCGAACTCACAGCCCCGAGATCAAGAGTCACACGCTATTCCTACTGAGCCAGCCAGGTGCCCCTAGCATTCTTAATATAAATTAGATACAAGTCCATTTTCTGATACATAGTTCAGAAGTATTTTCTCCTTTTCTTCCAAGTTTTCACTTAATTGATGCTATCCTTTGAAGCATGAAAGCTTCTAAGTTTGAAATCAAATTTATATATTTTCTTTCCTTACTAACTCTTTGGTTGTTTCTTGCATAGGCCTGCATTGGCTGATGTTTCCTCTGCACCTAGAATAGTGACTGGATTTTTTGGGGTCTGAAGGAGTACCAGGGCCAGTGGATGTGGTGAGGAAGAACAAAGCAGGGTGAAGAGTTTTGTTTCAGTGCTTT